CCCGCAACCCACTAGTCCCCTAGCCCACTTCCTACCCACCAGCTCCCCGCGACCCACTAACCTACCCACCTGCTCCACTAACCTACCCAACAGTCCCCATGTAACCCCTTTATCCCCCAGTCAACCCACCCCCTGACCAGGTTCCAGCAGCTCAGCTCCCCAGTGCCTCAGGCTGAAATCCCAAGGAGCATCCGGGTAAGCAGCCCAGCCAACAGCCCCTCAGCGACCGCACACAGCGGATACTGAGGCTGTTCGGAGGCCTGGTGGCAGGCAGGTTACATGTGCACAAACGCCTAATCTTTTCATTCAGTGCAATGGGAAGCCCAAGACTGGCCCTGGCAGATGGGAACTGTTGTCCTGTTGGTTGGGGGCCAGCTTGCCGTGGGTCTCTCTCATCTGCCCCCTCTACAGGCTTATGGCTGGCAAGCTGTGCTAGGCCTCCTCCAACCTAGTACAGGCCTTTCCCAGTGCCGATTTCCCCCTGGGACCTTCTCCTCTCACACAGCACAGGCTCTGCCCCACATGCCGGCAGCCTGCTCCCTGCACAGATACATGCAGAGGATGGACGCAATACAAGGGTGAATAACGTGGTCCGTGGCTCCAGGGGAGCTAGAGACATGGACCCTGGCCCGAGGCTGCCATTCCCTCCTCTAGCAGCAGGGACCTGAGGGTACATTGCTGACGTCCCTGCCTTGTCCATCTGTGCCTTTAGACTGCACTCAGCCCCCTCCTGCCCGGACCCCGCCAGCCCCTCGCCGAGGCACGAGGATCATGGGCAGAGGCTGCCCCTCGCCCACAAGCCGCCTCCTGAGCTCCGAGGCCGGCTCTCCTCACCCAGCCAGCAGACACTATCTCTTCCACCACCCCGGGGATGCCCTGTCTCATTTCCAATGCAGCTGAAAAGAATCGTCTTGGATGGCCATTCAGGGAGGCTTTGTGTGACACACACACCCCCGCCATGGACGGACCAAACAGAATCATAGAATATCAGGGTTGGAAGGGACCTCAGGAGGTCATCTAGTCCGACCCCCCACTCAAAGCAGGACCAATCCCCAACTAAATCAGCCTAACCATAACTACTGAGGCTGAGGGAACTGGGATTGTTTAGTCTCCAGAAGAGAAGAATGAGAGGGGATTTGATAGCTGCTTTCAACTACCTGAAGGGAGGTTCCAAAGAGGATGGAGCTAGGCTGTTCTCAGTGGTGGCAGATGACAGAACAAGGAGCAATGGTCTCAAGTTGCAGTGGGGGAGGTCTAGGTTGGATATTAGGAAACACTATTTCACTAGGAGGGTGGTGAAGCACTGGAATGGGTTACCTAGGGAGGTGGTGGCATCTCCTTCCTTAGAGGTTTTTAAGGTCAGGCCTGACAAAGCCCTGGCTGGGATGATTTAGTTGGGGATTGGTCCTGCTTTGAGCAGGGGGTTGGACTAGATGACCTCCTGAGGTCCCTTCCAACCCTGATATTCTATGATACTGTCCTTTTTGCTCCTTGTGTTATTCCACACAGATGCTGAAAGGCTGTCACTTGGGGAGCAGTGTTTGGCCAGCCCCCGTAGCCGTTCCTATTTGCTCCTAAGTCAGTTGCTAGGTGTTATCTGTCTCCTGTCACTGCCCCCGCCCGGTCCGATCCGATCCCAACGGGGGAAACCACATGGGCCCAGAAGAGAGAACAAAGGCACATTAACCACTCGGCACATGGCAGCTCCACCAGCTGTGGGGAAGGAGCGACAAGCAATGAGATTCCTCGCAAGGCATGAGCCCTTCTCTCAACCTCAGCTGCTCTTAGCAGATCAAAGCACCTAGGCGATGCTTCTTCACGGTCCCCTGCACCGCAGGCCGGCCGGCCCCTTTGGTCTGTAGGTGTTCCCTGCACTCCTCGGCTTTGCAGAGTGCTCCCCGTCCGCGTGGTTGAGCACCCCGCCCTTTGGGCCTGGGCTCACAGCTCCTGCTCACTGCCAGCTCACCCTTCAAAGCAGGGTTGGGGAATCGCAGTGCCGCCGCAGGTGCGCCCGATGTCTCAGAGCTACCTCCCACCCTTTACAGGCGCCCTGCAAACGTGGGCTCCGGGCTCGTCTGTCGGATGACGGAAGGGCTGGGAGTCTCGGGGGCTCAAGGGCTTTTTCTGCTTGTTGGTTACATTGGGCCTGGGCCTGGGCCTGGCGGCTCGCTGGGCCGTGCTGTGAGCGCAGCGACGAGGTGAAGCCGGGTTGATAGGCAGTGAAGGGATTCATATCAGACTCTGTGTTTGGTTTGGTGCTGGGAACCGGCATCCCTAGGCCTCTGACAGCCCCCAGCCTCACCTTGGCGCCATCCAGGAAAGACCAACAAACCAGGGAAGGACAGACCTGATGTCTCTACTGCAGAGAAACCCAGGCAGAAACCCTCCCCTCCCCAGGAAACATTCCTCTGCCCGTCCCTGAGCGCCACAGAGATGCACCAAGGGCTCTGGGCCGTGGAGTCTCCTGCAGCCACCTTTACATCTGGTAAGTGCCAGCAGGCTGCTCGGCCTCCTTCCCGTACGAAAAGCCCATTTCCTTGGCATCCCAGCAGCACCTCGCCAGGCTCCAGTGAACATGGCAGCGTCCCTGGCTGGGAGCTCC